GAATTGAAAAGAGACTGAATTTAGCACCAATACGTTCACTTACAGGTATTGTAAATAAACACCTACTTACTCTTTGAAGGTGAGGCAATATTAACGCATAATGCGAAAGCCGTCATATTTTCTCTCTTCGTCATAAAGTATGCCTTTTTGGGCAAAAAGGAAAGAAAATGAACTGGTATCGAACCCAAATGTTCACGTAGAGGGGTAAAATCCACCACCTTTTCGCAGAACTAGATCCAACCGTTGCCATCATCATAAAATCCTTTTTCTTCTCTTACCTAAGTGGACATTTGTCTCCGCAACCAGGTTTTAGTTCCTTTCTTCAGCGCTGTACTGAAAAGTTTTGACTTAACTTTAACGAATGCATAGTGCAGTAGTGCAGTTATTGTAATTTATTATTAAACATGTTAGATTTGACTTGTTCCAATAATGCATTTAATAAAGGGTAATTTGGTAATTTAAATAGAACAAAAGTCAAGATCTCAGATTTTGGAGATGTTCCAGTAAAGTTTTTGTCCGATGTATAGTATAAAATTAGGTACTACTTTATGGAAATAAATTTCTTTCCAATCAGCAGTGAACTAACCCAATGTTAATTATTGTTATGGCTTTTTACTTAATTATGTATCACCCACTTATCATCAGTATAGAGTATGTACGTTTTTGTTACCATAGTTCCCTTTTCATTATTTTAATCACAAATGTAGAACTACATTTACTTTTAATGTTTCTATTGAAGCCGAGAACAGAAAGTTATTTTCGTTCTATTATTCCAAAAGACTAGGTGATTGCCATGTTAAAAGAAATAAATATTTTCAAAGTATTGCAACGGTTTTTTAAAATAGGCAATTTATTATGTATATGTAGAAATATATCATTTACTAGTCAAAAAATGCGACGTATAATGTACTTAACAATAACAGTGGAAATATTTATATCTCTCAGTAACTGCTTCTTATGTGGTTATTTTTCTTTATTTATTCAAATTCAAGAAGGTTTATGGTTTTACATTTCTCTTGGAAATTCAATGACTTACGTAATACTATCTTTGTGCTACTCCAACCATTTCAAAAAACTTTTAATTTGTTTCAACAGTAATAATTGTTTACTTACGAAGGATAATTTGTATTTAGAAGACTTTAAAAGGAAGAACAAATTGATTATTTCTATTTTTATTACTTTTATTGTCATGAGAATAGGGTTTTCATTCAGTGAATCTCAATACACACCCCTTGAAAATCAAGAGCTCAATTTCTTAGTTCCTTTGATTCTAAGGATAAATGCTACAATATTTGAAATTCGGTTTTTGTACGAATATTTAATATTATATAATTTATTATATATAATATCGGAACAACTGGAGTGCATTGTAAGATGTTTGTTAAGAGAAAAATCTTTTGTTTCCATTATTTTTGAACAATTGAAAACCAACGATAATAAAATATATGAAGAACTAGACAAGGATCAAATTAATGATATCAGGCAATGGTCTCTTGCTTACACATATATTGCAGAGGGTGTAAAACTTTTTAATAAAATTTTTGGTTTACAGGTACCAATTTCACTAGTAACGGCAAAATTTATGGGCTTATTTAGCTTTTTATTTTAAAATTTGTTTTTATAATTGCAGATAACATTGATGTTGGTTTCTTCAATTGTGTATTTAAGCATAATTTTGTACACGGTAACATCTTTGACCGTACAAGTAAGTTTAAAAATTTAAGTGCTTATTTGTATACCTTAAGCTTATTTTTTATAATTTTAATATTTTAGCCTGATGGCAAAATATTTGTGTATTATTTAATATTATTAAATTGTTTAGTAAGTTTATACGAGTAAGTTCGTTGAGGTCCAGCGACGAGGTTCGCCACCCGTCATTATCTTTCTCCCAGAGGGGCGAAAAATGAATTGCAGAAGCCCGTCTGGCTCTGCTGAGTATATGTGAAGCAATGAATGGTAAGACGAATGAAGTATGCGAAATGATGTATGATAGAGGAGTAGATGTAAATGAGACGAAACTGAAGGGAAATAATATCACTGCACAAGTATGTATACCGCTTAATCGTCTGGTGTAGATGAAACCGAACAGGTAATCCAGGGACTCGGTATCTTCTTTTAAAAAAAAATGCGTCAATGTGTGAAAGAGTATGATTGTGTAAGGCCGAAGCTGTCATGGATTAAATTAAAGTGGGCTTAATAAAGTTGTTTGTTATAGGGGTCTACGCCCCAGACATCTCTATGCCCACTTATATGCGAGAACAGATTTAGGAGATGGTAAAGATGGTGTTAATGAAATGTAAGGGAAATGAAAAGATTGTTATGTTATGAGATTTTAATAGAAGGGTAGGAGTGAAGACGTCTGGTTATGAAAGACTATTCAGAACGATTTGTGATGAAAGTATAAATAAAAAAGATGAAAGCCTCTTCACCGTATATATGAAAAAAAATATTTTGTGACGAACACTCTCTTTCATCATAAGAAAATTCACATTTATACACGGGAATGAGATAATGATAGAAGCGTGATAGATTTCATAATTGTGGATGAAAGAGTGTAGTAGTAGATACAAGGATTTACCGGGGATCAACGTAGAGACACATCATTACTTGGCTTTATGCCGAATTAACGACCTATTCAGACGTTGGCGGCATCGGACATCTGTATCTACTACTGCGTTACAGAATATAAGAATAGGAATGTTACGAGATGAAGGTAAAAAAGAAGTATAAATTTAGACTTAAGAAAAATATTAGTAGTTTGGATGAATTGTGTATTAATTATTTAGACTTTGAGACTGTGTAGGATAGATAATGTTAAGAAAGGTTTGGTAGATGCAGCAACTGAAGTATATGGTATAAGTAAGAGAAAGAATGAAGGAAAAATTAATACATTATGGTGGGATGATGAGGTACGAATGGTAGTTGAATCAAAGAAAAGAAGATGGCTAGCAACCAAAGCGGGTATATTTGGTGGTATGAATGATAAGATTGAAAGAAAAAAGGCAGTCTTTAGACGTCTAAATAAGAGAGTAAAAGAAGTAGTTGTAAGAGAAAAGCAAGAAAGAATGGATAAAAATGATATAAAAATATCTGATATCTTCGAGGCAAATATTAAAACGTTCTTCAACCTAACGTAAGAACTGCCAGAGGAAATTCAAAACAGCCTAGAATTAATGCTATCTGAGCCGAGAATGGCTGTATTCTGAATGACGAAATTTCAAGCTTAAAGAGGTCGAAGGAATACTTTGATAGCATGTTTATGAGTCATTAAATGAACTAGAAATTCCGAAAGAAGATGAAAGAGGTAGGGATATGAGTATGGATGATAAATAAAAGCAATGAAAAGCATGAAAGTAGGTAAGGCAACCGGATATGATAGAGTATCACTTGAAATGCTAAGAACCGGAGAGGGAGTGGTGGCAGGCCTGCTGTAAACCTTGTTTAAATCTTTTTCAGCTCTCAACATAAAATGAACAAAGTGTACCCTTCTTTAATTTATGTTGAGAACTAAAGTGGGTAACGAAATGCTGGTGCAAATCCATTATAGTCCCAATATATAGGGGAAAAGGGTCGCAGCAAGACTGTAAAAACTACCGTGCCATCAGCCTACTTGACGTTGTTGGGAAAACTGTATGTCTGAATAACTGTAGTTGTATAAATAGCAGCTATTTTTGGCTCGGCGCTCACTTAGCGGTCAGCCACTGCAGAGTCTACTACACCTGAAGGTACATCGTGTAGAGGCGAAACACAGGTTAATTGTCGTCAGTGATGTGTCGTTCCTAGTTTGGTGGTGTTGGGAGTAGTGGTGATGGGATTAGTGGTGACGGAGATTGTGCATGCAATTGAAAGAGGGCGGGAGGTGCTCTTGAAACTAGGTAAGACACATAATTATATTTTATTTAGCGGATGTACGCAAATTAGCTTTTAGCGTCTATAATTTTCTTTAAAATTGTTATGGCGGCAAATCTGTTTTTCGTAATTTTGAAGTTTTTTTACCACCGCTAAATTTGTCCAGGATGAGACACGCCCCCACTAAGTCTTACCGTTTAGTCAAGCAATAGTATACCATGTCCTCAAAGAGCTGAACGCGGATGTCATTTTATTTGTATTTTTCTCAGCGAACCCTTTTATTTGATATCCATATCATGACGGTGAATAAAAAATCATAATCCGCCATCTTTGGAAGTCCACCGTATTAGATTTAGGTGATGTCATTTTATTTTTGTATTCTTCTTAGCAAACTCTTTCATTTGGTACCTATATAGAGTGCATAAAAAATAACTAGTCCGTATCTTGGGCGGTACGCCTTAATGAATTTAGAGCGAAGTCATTTTATTTTTCATATTTTTCTCAACAAATCCTTTTCTTATACACTCCCAGTGTATAAGAAATAACTAGTCTGCCATCTTGGGCGGTCCGTCATATTGGATTTAGAATGATGTCACTTAGCTAAAATGCATTTTCATTCAAACTAAATATGTTTGCAGAATTTCAGCTCAATCAATGAGGATAACTGCTTTAAAATTCAATTAGAAGTTTTAACCCTAACAAACATACAATGCAAGTTAAATAAAAGCTTCTAAGAATAGAACGCGACGCGAGTTAACACATTTCAGACGCTATCGTCGGAGTTAGTAGCTTCCTAGTAGGTATCTGGGTACGCTTGCTCCAAGCATACTTAACAGGCCTATTCACTAACTTAGTTGACATCAAGATGATATTCAGATTGTAGCACGTTGCGTGGCACGCTTTATGGCATTTATAAAAGAGGTACTACGGCTCGTTAAAAATATTACACAGTGTACTACAAAACTAAGATGGCATGCCTCGTTTTCAGTAACTTCTGGTCTCACCATACGAAACACAGCAACATTATTCTGCTATATTCTGTGAGAGCGTGATCCTTCCTCGTTTGAGCCAACCCATTCGTGCTACAACTATAATATAGCTTTTATTTGCAGGACTTACTTACTACACATATAGTAATGAAAGCAACAGTAATGGTGACTCTACTCCTGTTATGTGTTTTAACTTTATCCAGCGCCGCTCAGAGGGTTCATAATAATGTTGCAACTATAAAGCGTCGTCTTGGAAAGCTCTTAATTCAGTCAATTTCAAGTATGTGAATGTGATCTAAATATTTTTAATCGCAATGTATATATACTAGGATAGATTTACTTGGTTTAATCATGATATTGATTTTACATTTTTAATGACTATTCACATATTTCTTCATTTTTTATACTTATATTTTAACTCTGTAAATTTGAGAATAGCATTTTAGGTTTTTCGTAATCAATTGGTCATTAGAGCCTAATCCGTTAGAAAGCAGAATATCATATCACTTGGCCTCTTGCAAGTCTAATTAACAAATGGAGATACAATAAAAAATTAAAGTCGTTGAAACCGATTTTGGTCACGGCGACCAGTCTCCACGAAGATTAGTCATCTGCGCGTGACAGGATTGTAGTGCATGAGCGTTTGCCGAAACACAGTTCAACTCTGAATTCCCTCACGTTCATAATGGAATAGGACGGCACCTTCGAGCGCAGAAATAACAGTATTACGTGCATTTAGAGGCACGGGGCTAAAACATAGTTTAGTTTCTGACTCAAAGCGTCTACTGGGAATTTCTTGACAAAACTACCGAACAACTGATATTGGCCCAATCCGGAATTCGAATTCGGGGCTACATGATCCACAGTCGCACTGATAAGCAATAGACAAACGAATCATTATTTAGAAATAGATTCATTACAGATGTTGAAAGCCTTCCCAACCGTGGAAATGCAAGATAATATTCTACCTGTAGGTTAGATACGTCATCTAACCTACAGCCATGCCAGTAACTTTCAATGAAATAGACTAACTAGAAAAGTATTATCATCTCTTATTACTAAGCTGCAATGACTAGTGTAAATAAATAGGCTCTCCATAATCTTAAAACCGTTGCAGATTTCCGGCAGAATATATAAGAGTATGGCACGAAGTATAGCCTCTACAGAAACACAAAAATGTGTTCGTAAAAGTAGTGAATTCTTTCACTTTTAAAACAATACTAAACATTTTATTGCGCAAAACCTAGGTTTCATGAATTTAGTTACGAAGACCTACGTCCGATAAAAGATTTAATGCTAACGCAATGGACGTCTGCTTTTAACGCGGGTTACTTATTCATAGTTATAAGTGTATATAAATCAAAATATTTGCTAATGCGCAAGTGCCGTGGCAAATTTCGTTTCGATATACAACATGTAAAAACAACCCTGTGGTTCCTGTTAGTTCGTTATCAGAATCAGTATTCAAACTTATAGAAATAACTTCACTTCAGAAAACTCGATAATAATAAAATTAAATTAAATTTAAATAAATTTTGATTTGCCAATTATATGTAGTTTTATTATTTCTGAATTGGCCGAGAAGTGAGAATATTTTCAAACCTCCCTTTACTGATACGCGTGTCAGTTAGAGTTAATAAAACCACATACAATTTGATTGATTTTAATTTAATTTAATTTTAATTTGGTCAAGTCATTCATTAATGAATATACATGGTCGAAAAAAGTATTATGTGTGGGAAATAAATTATGTATCGAGAGAGTAGGCGTAGGTAGATATGGTCCCGAGCACCGCGATAACACTGCGGTAGTGCTGGGTGCATTAAAGTCTGTTCTCGGGAAATGCTTTAAACACGCAAAGCGAGAAAGGGGCCCCGGTTGCGTTCCGAACGGAGATACCGTAACCCTCTCATATAATCTCAAGTTTAAACCGGGAGGACTCGAGCATAACCTTTCTGTTGTCCGCGCAACCGAAGGTATCCATGAGATACCCCACAAAAAAGGCATCGGTAGATAAACGTTTTCGACGGACGTTATTGACATTCCAAAATATGCGTCACCGACTGCATTTGGAGTAATTCGTGTATGTAAGATAATTTTACAATTTATTAAAAATAAAAAGTCGATTAATTTACTATGTCTATACTTTTTTTTTATAGGATATTACTATTCTCGATTACGAATCAAAATGCAGATGCGTTGTCACCCGTTGGGACTAAGATGTAATGCCTCCTTTCCAGAAACACGGGTCTCCGGTTCTCTACACTCACCATACGAAACATAGCAGCGTTAAGCTGTTATTTTACGTTGGTATTCTGTGAGAGCGTGGTCCTTCCCCGGTCGAGCCGACCCATTCGTGCTACAACTATACCTACTACTAATATAGCTGCAGCATGGCTCTACGTAAAAAACTACTAAAGGAAGTTCTACTTGGTGGTAGAACTTCCTTTCTACCCAGGACTGCATAATTATAGGTTGTGAGGAATTACACTTCAGTCATCAGAGGTAACAACGCATCTGTAACCTTCATTGTTTGAAGTTAGCTACAGGTGTCTGTGGACTATCTTAGTCACCGGAACGTTATATTTGAATTATTTCCCTAATCTATCATTTGCCTGATGGAACTAATCGACGTCGCTACCGCTTAGACTAATACACTTATAGAGCATTTATTAAGTCGAATAAACAAAATTCTCTTGTAGGTACACACTCAATAACATCAAGATTGATTTAAGTTATTTATTTTGTTTTCAGATGAGAGCTGTTACCATGCTACAAAAGACCTACTCCGTCTTGTTTCCAATCGTCAAATACAAATTAAAGCATTCGGTTCAGTTACCATAGATATGAGCTTACCTCCAACCTGTATTATTATGTTTACTTCGTACACTGTTATCGCTTTACAATTCAATAACGTACTATAAAGGCCGAAATATTATTTTAAAATACGATACAACGCAACGTGTCGAAATCCGATATGCACAGTGCACATTACCAACTCATCGAGTGTGCAACACATTAGTTAGTAGCGGTGGATGTAATTGGATCGCTTTCTTATAGAATAAGGGTGTCAAACGTGTATACAGCCCACCTGATAGTAAGTAGATATTATGACCCATAGACACCTATATCTATCCTTAGTTAAGAATCAAAATGCAGTTACGTTTTCACCCCTGAGTACTATGATAGAATGCCTCATTTCCAGTAAAAATGGTCCTCGATTTACACTCGCCGTACAAAATACAGCTGCATTATGTCTTTTGTGAGAGCGTGGTCCTACCCTGGTTGAGGCGACCCATTCGTGCTACAACCATAATATAGCTGCAGCGTGGCTCTACCACGTATAAACGTATCCTAGTCACTATATCTTCTTGCAAAGAAATCTTTTCTTTTTCTCACCCTATCATTAAGAGGCATTCTAAACATAATTCTTAATGATCGCATTTCTACAGCATTAATTTTATTACAGCATTGTGAATTGGCATACGTGCCTTTTGTGAAACATGCTAACTTTCCATAGCAAAGTGAAGAGCCCCAGTTACTCTGTATCCTGCATTCATTCGTTGTTCTATATCCTTGTCATGTCTACCATCCTACATCCTATATACACAAGCCAATAAACTTCCTCAACTAACTCCCCTTCTATTTTTATTTAATATATCATTTTACTTTCTTCTCTTTCTAAAAGACATTCATTATTATTCCCCTATGTAAAAATGATCTGTTCATTAATATAATCATTATTTATAACTCGCCCGCTAATGACGCAAATAAGTCTTGATCGTCGGCTTACAAAAGAAATTTGACTGTTAAGTCACCCATTCTTAAACTAAAGAGATTGAGCAACCACGGGGAATCTACATATAAACATAAAGGTATTTATGGATGTCATACCCCTACAAAGTCCCTATAGAAGGACTTTCATGTCTGTATCAGCCCCGCGCTGAACCCAAACGAGTGTTTGCAATAAAAAAAAACTCTAGGGACTGTATCATAAGCCTTTTGTTAGTTCATAAATTCACAGAAAAATTTAAAAACTTGTTAGTTAAGCAGGATAACAAAACACTTCTTAATCGTAATTGAACATAACATGTTACACAAATTTCAATTGTATAATTTTCTAATAGTCGAAATTCAACCGTAATACATTATTTTTTAAGGTTCATTATATTACATTGATATTCAAAACTACGGGTATTTACTATACACAATATAAAATAAACGTTTTTATTTTGTCTAAAATGTAATGGCTCTTTGGTATTTTTTTTTTTTATAGGAGAGGGGGCAAACGAGCATGCGGCTCACCTGATGGTAAGTGACTACCGCCGCCCATGAACAACTGCAACACCAGGGGAATTGCAGATGCGTTGCCGGCCTTTTAAAAAGGAGTAGGCTCTTTTCTTGAAGGTCCCTAAGTCGTATCGGTCCGGAAAAATCCCTGGTGGTAAACTATTCCACAAGGAAGTTGTGCGAGGAAGAAAACATCTTCTAAATCGCACAGTGGTGGACCGCCAATCATCCAGATGGTGTGGATGGTATCGGGAGTTCTGCCGCGATGTGCGTTCGTGAAATTTGGCGGCTGGGATTAATCCGAACAATTCCTCAGAGCACTCCCCATGGTAGATGCGAAAGAAAATGCAAAGAGATGCAACATCTCTTCGCAGTGCCAATGAATCGAGCCGATCGGAAAGGGCTCGGTCGTCGACGATTCGAGCCGCTCTGCGCTGGATGCGGTCAAGTGGAAGGAGCTGGCACTGGGGAGCCCCTGCCCAGAGATGGGAACAGTATTCCATGTGAGGCCGAACCTGCGCCTTGTAAAGTTGCAGGCGGTGTGCCGGCATGAAATACTGTCCCGCTCTGCTGAGCACGCCAAGCTTTTTAGAGGCCAATTTGGCCTTCTCTTCCAAGTGACCACGAAACTGCACGTCACTCGATATGTCGACTCCGAGGATACCGATACTGGCTGAGGCAAGAAGGGGAGTGCCTTGAAACTGAGGAGATACGACAAAGGGGTTCTTTTTAGCGGTAAACGCGCAAACTTGTGTCTTCTGAGGATTAAACTGGACTAGATTTAGTCGCCCCCAATCCGAGACTTTGTCCAGCAAAGACTCGACTTCAGACACAAGTTTGTTCCGGTACTCGGCGACGTTTTCCCGAGAAATATTGGCCCGGCCGGTGTATAGAGCATCACCAGTGCTGTCATCCGCATAGCAATGAATGTTACCAGTTAGCAACATATCATTGATATGCAGAAGAAACAGCGTTGGTGATAGCACACAGCCTTGTGGAACACCAGCGTTAATAGGCTTGTAGTCAGAACATGCACCGTCTACAACGACCTTGATGCTCCGATCTGCAAGAAAGCTGGTGATCCAATTGCACAATTTCTCGGGAAGCCCATAGGAAGGCAGCTTCGAAAGAAGCGCTTTGTGCCAAACCCGATCAAAGGCCTTCGCAATGTCCAGACTAACGGCCAACGCCTCCCCCTTGGACTCTACTGCCTTCGCCCATCTATGGGTCAGGTAGACCAGAAGATCACCAGCTGATCGACCCCGACGAAAACCGTATTGGCGGTCACTAATCAGCTGGTGATCCTCAAGGTACCGGATGAGCTGGCAGTTAATAATGGATTCCATTATTTTGGAGAACAAGGAGGTGATCGCGATAGGCCTATAGTTGGACGGGTCTGAGCGGTCGCCTTTTTTAGGGATCGGGTGGACAAAAGCTGTCTTCCATGAATTCGGGACTACGCCTTCGGAGTAGGAGTACCGGAAAAGACGCGTTAGGACCGGTGCCAACTCCGGAGCACACGTCCTCAGCACAATTGGGGGGATTCCGTCAGGCCCACTCGACTTCTGGATGTCCAGGGAGAGAAGTGCTTTGCGAACTGAGCGCTGTGAGAATAGCACATCCGGCATGGAGCACTCACACCGCGGGATTTTCGGCGGTATTTTCCCCCCGTCATCAAGAGTCGAGTTGGACGCAAAAAGGGAGCCTAAAAGGTCGGCTTTGTCTTTTGCGTCTTGGGCCAGTGAGTCGTCCTCCCTGTGCAGAGATGGTAGTGATGGCTTACAGAAATTCCCTTGGACAGCCTTGGCGAGAGACCAGAATGCACGGGTTCCCGAAGGAAGGCGAACTAGTTTCTCGCCAATTCTGCCTATGTGCTCTGACTTTGCCTTGGCAATAACTCTTTTGAAGGACCTGGAGGCGAAGTTATACTTCTTTTTAAGTGTGCTGGTGTTTACATCCCGAGTCACCGAAGCCGCAGCCCAGGCTTGATAACACTCCTGCTTACTGCGCAATGCAGTCTTACAGGAGCGACCAAACCAAGGCTGAGATCTGCCTCCGATGGGTACCACAGATGATGGAATAAATAGTTCCATTCCCTGTAGCACCACATCAGTGACAGAGTCAGCAACAGCACTGGGATCATCCGGCGAGAAGCAAACCCGCCCCCATGGGTAGGATGCAAAGAAAGACCGCATTCCGTCCCAATCCGCCGACCTGTAATGCCAAACACGGCGGCAACCTGCAGAACGCAACCGCGAAGGGAGCGTGAGTGGCACCATACTCCGGATCAGACAATGGTCCGAAGAGCCGAGAGGGGCATCGACGGAAACCTGATATCCGTCCGGATGAGAGGTCAGCAGAAGGTCCAACAGGGAAGGTGTATGATCCTCCACATCTGGAATCCGCGTAGGCGAAGTAACCAGTTGTGTCAGACCATATGCCAAGGCAAAGTCATAAACAGATCTCCCCGCATGATCGGTTAAACGTGAACCGAGCCATTCGGCATGGTGGGCGTTAAAATCGCCAAGGATCACGATCTCTGCGGATGGGACCTGTTGTAGCAAGGAATCTGTAGCCATTTGGACGTGGTCGATGAGTCGGTCTGTTTCGGCATTACCGCTATGGGACCTATAGAGGCACCCGTAGACGCGCGGATGGTCGTCGCTGTCTACGCGTAGCCAAAGGATGGACAGGTCCGAACCTTCAAGACTGCCGAGGCGTCGAGAACAGATGTCCTCTCTAACATACACGCAAACTCCAGCCCGAGGCACAAAGGAGTGCTCCAATTTGTACCCCGGGTAGGAGAGATACGAAATATCAGTCGGAGAGGAAACCTGCGTCTCGGTCAAAAAGAGCAAGGCCGGCTTCGCCGTCTCGAGATGGTAGTGGACTGCGTTTAGGTTAGAGTGAAGTCCCCTGATGTTGCAGAAATTCACGGATAGCGTGGCAGGGGTCGCCTTGGTATTGTTGCTCAGCTTGCCCCGAGCAGTTTTGTTTTTGAGCGGAATTTTGCCCCCCCCAGAATACGCGGGGCAGCCTGAGCACCCACGCTCAGGATTGGAATAACATGGTCGTGGATGCTCAGCGAGGGATTCTCCAGGGGTACTGGTACCCTCCTGGGGTAGTCTATTGTCTAATTCCGCTACCATGTTGATGGGGGGGGGGGGGGAATTGGGCCTCCGGCCACCTGCACTCACCAGACGAAACGCAGAAGCAGAGCCTCTACTTCACGCCGGTATTCTGTGAGGTCGTGGTACCAACCCGGCTCGAGCCGGCCCATACGTGCAACAGCAAAAAACTGCTGCAGGGCTCTACCACTATATATACTATATGAACGTCAATAAACGAAATAATTTCTCCAATCTACATTTATGTGACTAGATTATCATATATTGTTAGTGTTTGACTTCTGTAGTGTGATAGTAAATAATTTATGTTTTATTTTATATAATTTAATTTATTAATAACACAAATTTTTAATAAATGTTAGCTTTTTACACTCCTTCTCTATATAATAAACCTTCACTATGCTAAATCTCAAATTCCACACTCAGTGCGTGCAATGCTTAGAAAGGGTACAGTTTTCCCTTCACGTATTAGTATATAGATAATCATTTTGTAACACGCTTTCTTC